TTTTAAATTGAACCAAATGCAATTTTAAAATAAGCACACATACAAGCCCTGGGTATGTTTCTTGTCTGCTATCAGAAAAGAGACCAGCCAATTCAGAAGTTTCATTTAAATCAGCTAAACGGGTCCGAGCTAGAACTGTATAATCATGCAAAATTGAGTTGCAACTTGTAGGGGCTTGTGGTACCTGCAAACAATTGGATTTGATTTCAAACTGGTTGCTTTTCTCTTCATCCAAAATATGCTCAAGAACAGCAACTACACAAAGAATGCATAAATGCATAAATTAGTTATACCTTGTTGATATGAACCCTCAGATTCTCAGCAGAATCAACTGGCACAATATCTGTAAGTAGCTGCATTAGAGACTGAAAGTGAACTGCATTCCTAGCAGTTGCTGAATCGGGTCCAAAGTAAGAACTGAACCAGGAGGAGTATGTTGAAAATGTTTTACTATCACAGGTGCAGCAGTGTCGAGCTAAGAGGAATCCTGCTGAGAGTTCAGTCTGCCGTCCTCCTTCAAGTCCAAGTTGAATAAGTTCATCAATGAGTCCTTTAAAAATTTATTGAGAAATATAGAAATCGTTGGTGAAATATAGTTAAGAGAAAGAGGTCTAACCGATTCAATGAATAGTAAGTACTTACTCTGAAAGTTTTCACAACATTCAGGGTTTTCAGACAACACAGCAGCAGTCAACAAGAAAATTACTTTAAAGTTAACAGAAGGCTTAACTACTGCGGCACATATCTGACTAACTACTTTATCATCACCTAAGGCTCTCACAATCTGTAAAATAAATATAGACCTAATTCTTTCTGGAATACAAAGGAATCGATATAAGAACCTTGTACTTACTGAAACAAGTAGACTTCTGTAAGAATTTGATACAGTTTCAAGAGTTGTCTTCTCTTGCATTTCAACTGCATGCAACAATGATTGAATAGAATTGGGCTCATTTTGCTCACAAAGAGGAAGTAGAAAATATGTAAGTATAAATTGCTCAATTGCTTCAGACCCACAAGTTGACAACAACTTGGCAGATGATAGAAAATTGAAGTCAATTGATTCTGAGCAGAGTGGAGGTGAATCAAGCACCCATCTGATAATCTAAAATTAGAAATGATAAAATTGGACGACAAAATTGAGCAATTTGATGCAATAAGTTCATGGAAGTATACAATACCTCATCTGTACATTTCTTCAAATTGACTGCACAAATTGTTGATAATTGAACATTGAAGGGCCCTGACTGACTAGCAGACAGAAGTGATGCAAAAACATCGATGACAATCTCAACATACTCAGGAGAATTTTTGGAGTTGAGTAGCAGCCATAAAACTGAAGATGATAAAACTGAATCGCTCCCTACCGGAAATTTCCTACAAAATCAATCTCATCATGACCTGAGAAGACATAAAACTTTATAGCATTTCATAATTAGAAATACGCACTTTAACACATACGAGGAGATTTGTAAAATATCTGCTTTGTGCAGCTCCCAAATCACTTCCAGGGGAAAGGTGAACTTGAATGTTGATTTGATACAGAAAAAATTTAGAGTAATGAGTTGTAAAATAAAGTGAAATTGACTGTTTGATGTAATAAATATTGCAGTGAAACCATACCTCAGTACTTAAAAGTCCTGTAACAAACACATGTTTATCAAGAAATTTTCTTTCTTTCAGAAATTGTAAATCACGCATAGCTGCAGTACATAGTTTTTTGCAATCTTCTGGGACCAGAGCAAAGGGATGTTTGCTTTTCCTTGCGATGGAATGTAAAACATGAACACAACCATGTATAAGACTAAAAGTATCGCATCTGTTAACACCAGCATTGACCTGAAAAACAAATTCTTTTAAGTGCGAAAGGTGGACTGCGAATATAGATTAAAAATACAGATGACATTCATTGAAATAAATTATAATACTATCAAGACCACTCTAACCTTAAAGACAGCACTCTCATAGTTATGAAGAACGTCTTGCTCTTTCCATCTATTCAAATTTTCATTCAGAGAAACCCAGGAATCTTCACCGCAGTAGGAGGACCTTCTGTTAACCTTCTCTTCTGGAATTGAACAACCGGTTGGTGAATTTGTAGACCTCAAAGAAACACATAAAAAAGGCTTTTGGGAAATTTGGCACCTAGGAAAACCTTCAGATTTTCCATGACTTCCTTTCCAATAAACTTAAAAGGATATATTTGGCAGTCACAATGTTTTGTTCCGGCTTTGTCACATTTAAACCAAAGCACATGGGTTTGTCATCTCGTTGTTTTGGTCTAGAAGAAATTTAAGGTCTCGTTGCAGAGCTCCTACCGAATCTGAATCTGAATCTAGTCGTACTGCAATTGCAATAGAAGGTTAGGATGACAGCAGCAGCAGTAGTAGCAGTAGCAGTGGTTATGTTATGTGATTTTGTGAGGTACAAAATTGAATAACTGATTGTCGATTTATCTTGTTGGCATGTTCATACCAAACGGACGATTGTCTAATACTTTCTTTTTCCATTAACAGATTGTTTTACTGATACGGGTTGCTGTTGCTTTTCCAGTTATGAAGAATTAAAACAAGTATGAGTGCATCCTGCTTTGACTCACATCTCCAAGAAAACAAGGACCAGGTAATTTAGTTAAAAAAATGATGATGGATAGTTATTTTTTAATTGACGATGAAATTTGGACCCCTACTAATTTCAGTGTAATGATATGAAAAAATGATAGGGGTCTGTTAACCTTTTGAAAAGAAAGTCTTGAAAGAAAGTAAACACACCACACTCTTGTAATCCAGTCAGGTTCGTCTTCCATTTTAATTGTTTCTTTTATGTGTCTCCTTCAGGATCCCTTTGATAAACTTCCTGATGAACTGATAGTGCAAATTTTTTCTCATCTGTCACCTGAAGAAATTGCATGTCGTGTAGCAAAAGTATGTTTACGATGGCAGTCCGTTGCAAAGGAACCTGTATTATGGGAATGTTCTTCCCTTGTGTACGACGAACTTCAATCTTTAGAATTTCAAGAGACAATCCTATTTGCACCCTCAATCGCTGAAGTTCATATAAACATGTTCAGAAATATTAGTGACACTACCATAAAGTCAATGCTCTCAGGATGCAAATCAATTACATACCTCAGCTTTTACCCAGGAGCAGAAGTACCTGTTCATGATAAATTAAATATCTTAACCCATTATCAGGAATATTTAATAGAACTTAATATGTTTATTGATGATTCATATCTGGTTTGCTCTGACACCACAAAAGCTTTTTGTGAAATTCTTGGGAGGATGAATCACTTAAAGATTTTAACTTTGAGAGGACTAGTTAGTTCGGTTCTCTTTGAAGGTGGAATTTTTCAAAATGGGTTAGCAAAACTTGAAAGTCTAGATATAAGTAACCTAGTTATCACATTCCCAGAAAATGAAAGTACTTATTATCGAGGTTCTAATCTGAATCCATGGCAAACTTTTATTCTTCTCATTTTGGACCATAAAGCTCAGAATATGAAAAAATTATCTCTGCCCGAGGGTGTTTTTGATTTATCAACTGTGAGTGCACTTGAAGATAAAGTTACATGTATGAAAGTAGAGGAACTCAGAGTTTGTGAAATAGGCTTAAGGGCTGTTAGGAAATTGGATTGTTTAAGAGTTCTGCATGTTGTTGGCCTATCTCTTAGAAATTTAGATTACTTATGTAAATCAGCAGGATCACAATATAGTTCATTATATAAGTGGGTCGCTGATTTGCCACAATTTTCAAATGTAAGAGAACTGTCTTTGGAGAAGATCATAGATGATGAGAGGAAATTAACCAGCCATCTTCTAGAAGCATGCAGAAATTTAGATTCTTTGACAATCACCGCTGGATGTCATACATCTGCACAATTAGCACACATCATTTCACAATTACCCTCTCTAAAAAAATTGAGTATGCATCGTATGTCTTGCTTAAAATCAAAACACTTAGAAGTTATTATGTTTTATTTACCAAACCTGGTAATTCTCAACCTCCGAAATAACACTCTCACTGATGGTATATTGCAGTTTTATGTAAACAATATCCAAGAAAAAATGCCAAATTTAAAATTAGTTTGTGACTGGGGATACTGGAGTATTCATGGAGGGAGTTCTTGGCGTGGGCCTAGTAAGACAGGGGAGCTGACAAGGTATGCTACATCAAGTGAGTGTCTGAGCCATGATAGAGCCATGGTAACGCAAATGCTTGATGCACTCACTGATTATGAAGATGATGATTAGACTTATCTTTTCAACACAAAGTATATTGTAAAATCTGTCTCCATAACTTCTTTTTTTTTGTATTCCATTTTTATGCTCTTGGAAATAAATTAAATACATATGTATCCCACAATGTCTATGCACTTGTTTAAAGATATACCATCACCTTACTTGTTGGTCCACTCCACAAATGAAAAGTCACTCTTTGAAAGTCATATTGAGTCTTTCACCAGCAATTGAAGCCAAGTGTCTTTGGTGTCTGCGCAAACATCATTTCTCAAGCTCAAATTAGATTTCAACTTTGTTCCAGATCAATTTTTTTAATAAGCAACATTAATACTCTGCACAAGAAAGAAGATGGCTGACTTTCTTGCTGATAACAACCCTTGTGGTCAAAATATTGTACGCTTGGTATCCCGGGGAAATGCAATAATTGCTGAATTACTACGGCTCAAAGATTTTATACCACCTGTGTTCAGGTAGACAAGTTTACATTTAATACCTATCTAATTTAAATTTTGATCTATCTTTTAAAATCTTATGTTGGTTTCCAGATTAGAGAATAAACATGATCAACAAAAGTATGGAGAAGTTATATGTGATTTTGTATATTTCAAAACATCTGACGAATTTGAAAACAGAATTGAAGCCAATCCAGTGAGTATGGGGATTCTATTCATATTTGTGCTAAAGAAGTATTGTCAGTTGTAATTTTTAACTCCTCTTCTACAGCAATTGCAGGATTTAGATGAAGAGTTTAGAGAAAATTACTCAGAAATTTTAACTCGATTTTATTTGGCTCTTGAAAGTGTACACCAGTATGTTGGAGATTTAAATAGATTCCTTGCGGATTTGGAAGAAGGCCTCTATATTCAGCAGACCCTGGAAAGTGTTTTTCAGTGTGATGAAGGAAAGCAGTTAATGGTTGGTTACAATGACACTTTTTGGTACATTCTTGAAAGCTAGAGACAAACTTTTCATTTTACAAAATTTTTTCCACACAGTGTGAGGCTCTATTTCTGTATGGTGTTATGTTGTTAGTTGTGGATTTCCACATTGATGGCACTGTGCGTGAGCGCATGCTTGTGTCTTACTATCGCTACAGTGCCCAGAGGTCATCTCATGGTAGCAATATAGATGATGTGTGTAAACTGTTACGCTCAACAGCTTTCAGTTCAGGAGCAGGAACAAGAAGGCCGTTGAATTACCCTGAGGATTTTTTCAGGTAATTCTTTCAATGTTCTGTTAAAAATAGAATGGTTTCTTTTTAAAATAAATTAATTTGACTGTATTTCTTAAAATTCCAGGCGCATTACGCTCCCTGAAGTGTATGTTAGTGTTGTTTTAGGCTGCTTGAGGTCAGATGATATTTATCATCAAATGGCAGCATACCCATTCCCTGAACACCGCAGCACAGCTCTGGCTGTTCAAGCTGCAATGCTCTTTGTCTGCTTGTTTTTTGCTCCCAACATTCTCCATTTCCAAACAGCTCAAATGAGAGAAGTTGTTGACAAATATTTCCCTGATAATTGGGTGTGTGATATTTTCATTTTATCCATGTTTGTTGAAAATGTTAATCTAACATTTCAAATGATTTCTCTTCTTAGGTGATCAGTGTTTATATGGGAATGACAATGAATCTTCTGGATTGGTGGGAACCTTACAAAGCAGCAAAAACAGCACTGAGCAATACTTTGGACTCTGCTAATATTAAAGATCACGCCTCCAGATTTGCCGTCAAAGTTCAGGTGGGATAGATACTGAACAGATACTCTATTTCCTTAATGTTAATGTGAAAATTCCAATTTGAAACATCAAACTTTTTCCATATAGAAATTCTTACAACAGACCAGACAACTTCTTCAGGAAGGTGCTCTGAATGAAGATATTGTGTTGGATCATGTTAATAAAGTGGTAAATGTAGTACGAGAATGTAATGTAACTCTTCGGTGGTTGATGCTTCATACTGCTTCCCTTCCTCCTGGTAAGATAACATTTTCAAACTGCTTTTTGTGATCTATTTATATCTAATCTAATCACCAACATTCATATTTTCAAATTTCCTTTGCATATTTGAAAATCACCTTAAACTTATTTGTCCTATTAATATCTAGCTGCTGATAACAATAAAAAATGTCGCCAAGTTCGTGATCAAGTCATATTGGATGCTAAGTATGAACCACTGCAAGTGTTTGAACTGCTTTTGAATACTGCTCAGTTTGAGCTGAAGTTTAAGGAACTGTTTAAGAAGGTAAGGGTATTTATTATGAACAGTGTTTCTCATTTTGTTAACAATTTTTGAAAACAATTTTATCTTAATGATATCTTTAACAGCTACTCTCAGAAAAAAGCAATCGTTGGAATAGTGACAAAAGGGAAGCTGTAGAAAGAATGCAAGAGCTTGCTGAGGTTTTTTCTGGCACTAAGCCATTAACTAGAGTTGATAAGAATGGTGAGTCCTTTCAAGAAATAATTGGTGCCACATACAACTAAACAAATTTTTAAAACCTCTACACTTTTTCACAAATTAATTTCATTTTTCAGAAAAGTTGCAACTTTGGTTTACTGAAATGGGGAAACAAATAGATTCCTTGAAACACGAAGAAGCTACCTCTGCTGGGCGTAAGATTGCTCAGATGATTGAAGCCTTGAACGAAGTTCAGGGTAAGAATTTTATTTGACTTAAAAGTTGTCCTTGTGTGTTATCACTCTTTTTCAATAATAATTTTGTTATTTCTACAGAATTTCACCAGCTTGAAACAAACATGCAAGTGAAGCAATTTCTTCTTGATACCCGTACTCATCTCCATCACATGGTTAGGGCTGGTAACATCAAAGAGGAAGTACTCATAACTCTGCAAATGATCGCAGATCTTAGCTATGCTTGGGAGATTGTTGAGTCATATACAAAATATATGCAAGAGGGCATTAAGAGAGATCCAGGACTAGTAATTAAACTGAGGGCCACGTTTTTAAAGGTATGTTTGATGTTAAAGCCTGTTGAAAAAATATCATTTTTTAATATTTTTGTTGTTGATGTTTTTCAAAATTTTAATTCTTGCTCTGTCATTCTGAACAGCTATCATCAGCATTAGAAACTCCTTTATTGAGAATCAATCAAGCTCGGTCAGCTGATTTGGTATCAGTGTCAGGATATTACTCAGGCGAGCTTGTTGCTTATGTGCGGACTGTGTTGCATGTGATTCCTGAGACAATGTTTGGACTAATGGCGAAGATAGTCCACCTTCAGACTCATGTAATTAAGGAGTTGCCAACAAGGCTGGAAAAAGAAAGGCTGAAAGATTTTGCTCAACTGGATGACCGCCATGAGGTAAGTGTGCACACTTGTTAAATATAAATAAAATATAATTTGTCATTTTCCCCTTCTAAATTTTGTTCTAATCTGCTTACAGGTGGCAAAGTTGACTCATGCTGTTTCTGTGTTAACTGAAGGCATTCTTGCCATGAAAAGCACTTTGGTAGGCATAATAAGAATTGATCCCAAACAATTATTGGAAGACGGAATACGGAGAGAACTTGTCAAACATATCAGCATAGCACTTCACAATGGACTAATTTTCAATCCAAGGGCTAAAGTAATCCTCAGAAAAACTATCTTTTATATCTTCCTACAATAGAAAAATAAGTCTCCATGTATAAATTGTTATTTTTTTACAGGTTAGTGAATTAATCCCTAAACTTGAATCTCTTGGTGAAATTATGGATGGACACAGAAGGTCCTTTGAATACATTCAAGATTATGTTAACATTTGTGGACTTCGGATATGGCAAGAAGAAGTATCACGGGTGATGGGTTATAATGTTGAACAAGAATGCAATTCATTTTTACGCTCTAAAGTGCAAGACTGGCAAAGTGTCCACCAAAGTAGAGCCATTCCAATTCCTAGTTACCCTCCCCCATCACAAGATCCTGCATCAGTCAATTTCATTGGTAGACTAGCTAGGGAGCTTATAAGAATAACTGATCCAAAGTAAGTTTTCATTCATTTAGTGTCTTCATCCTTTTTTCTAATATTACTGCCATTAGTAATACTGTAATCTATCGTTTCAGATCAACTATTTATGTTGAGTATATGACTTCTTGGTATGATCTAAAAACACACAAAGAAGTGATAAATATGAAAGTGTTCTCGAAAATCAACAAGTCATTGGGTATTGCTGGTCTAACAGGTCTTGATAAACTCTTATCCTTCATGATTGTCACTGAGATTCAGGTATGTATCATGATATTTTGTGCTGTCGACAGCAGGGTTGTGTCACTAGATGTTTACTATAAATAAGATCTTTCCTGTAGAATCTTCTTGGAGCATTACATAAAGGAGTCCTTAAAGACAAGGCATGGTTAGAAATGTTTGGCAATGTATCGAAGGATCTAGCCCCAGTTACAGGAGTTGTTAGTAAGTGTTTTTGAAAGTGATTTGCTAAATTTGAAGAAAGAAGTTTTTGATCTAACATTATTTTGGAATTTAGGTAACCCTGCTCGGTGGTACTCACAACACTGGAGTAGAGCCCAGAAAGTGTGGCCACAGATTTTAGAGTGGGTGTTGAAAGTTGGGCAAATGCAACTGCTGCGCAAACACATAGGCTATGAGCTTAATGTTGCCTGCCGATTTGATTCAAAACACCTTGCTGCTGCTCTCAGTAATATGAATTTGTGAGTACATCTTTTTGATTTGCATCATACAAATTTAGCAATTATTTTGATGTCCATAATTTTATCTTGTTCAATTCTTGTGTCCATGTGTATAGGGCACTATTATCAGATGTTCAAGCTCATTATAGAGATCCTGCTCGTCCCTACCCAAAGGAGGATTCTCCTCTCATGTTTGAGCTAACTACCTACCTTGATTGGGCTGGCATTGGTGATCCATGTGCTAAAATCTATGTCACCACTCGTAATTTGCCATATTTCGCCCTTTTGAGTTTTCTCTTTGTATTGTCTCAGTTACAGAAATTATCATATGCTCGTAATGTTGGTGAGTAGTCTTATTTAGATCCTCTTCAGTCAAACTGTAATAAGTTAAGAGAAATTATTCGTTCATGAATATGTCCCATACGTCAGGTGGCCTGACTTGCAAGCGGCCTCAAGAACCCTTAGATGGTGTTGCCCTAGTGCTAGGTGTGCAAACCCTTCTCCGACAATTTCATCCTGAAGTTGCCAAGCAGTTTATAATGTATATGTGTCAGTTTGTCAGATCACACACAGATTCATTAACCCGGTAAGTTACTAGTTTCACTTGTTAAAATTCAAACTAATTAAAAGATATAGATGAAGACACAGCATTTTATTGCAGGAATGCGAGTAAAACACCAACAGAGCTCCCACCTGAAGTGACAACTGCACTACATTTTCTCGAAGCATTTATCAAGTTTTCAGGGAGTCAACGCGAAACATTGACAGCCCACATTCCAGATACTATTCTAGATTTATTCCAAATTTTAGGATCATAGTGATATTTTTTTTTACTACAACTGTG